CCTCCCACTACCCACCGTTGGGGAGTAGAAGGCAGAGGGGAAAGACATGGTCCACCTTCACAGGGAGTTGCAGAATCCCCAGCAGGCCTGTGAGCAGACTCACAGGTAAGTTAGTCCAACTAACTAGGTTAGTTATTGTCTTACAGATATGACTATTTAGCTTAAGAACAACAATACACAGAATGGGCCCAAAGAAAGTAGAAATAAGGAAATAATAAAGACAAAAGCAGCCAGATGCGGTGGTGCTCACCTGTAATCCCAGCAGCTCAGGAGGCTGAGGCAGTAGAATCACAAGTTCAAGGCCAGGACCAGCAATTTAGCAAGGCACTAAGCATCTTAGCAAGATCTTATCTCAAAAGAAAAAATAAAAAAGGGCTAGGGATGTGGCTCAGTGGTAAATCAGCCCTGGGTTTAATTCCCCCCCCCGCCCCCCAAAAAATTCATGATATAGGAAATACATATACAATAGAAAGGATTGACAAAGCCAAAAGTTAGTTCTGTGTAACGATGAATGAAGGTGATAAACCTCTGAGAAGACTGATCCTGAAAGTCAGCAAGAATAAGTAGATTGAGGACCTCCAAGGAGGACACAACTGCAAACACCACAGGGAGTTTATTGTAAGAAGAATACTAAAATAAACTGCAAATAAACCGTAAGTCTTACGATGATAAGTTTGAAAACCTTCCCAAGATAAACACTATCCTAGAAATATAAGATATCTAGAAAGATATCTTACCAATACTCCAGGAAATTTGAAATGTATAACCATTAAAGAAATTTGAATATGTAGATAAAAGTCCATCTACCACCCTCAAAAAAATACCCCTCACATCACTAGCCTCATGATTTTTACTGCAGTTTACCATACATTCAAAGAACAGACAGCTCCAATCTCATACTTTTTCAGAAAATAAAAAGAAAGCAAGGAAGAAAGAAAAAGAACATCCCTAGGCTCCATTTCATGAGCAGAGTGTGATTTTATTTATTTATTTATTTTTTTGATACCAAGGGTTGAATCCCAGGGCGCTTAATCACTGAGCCACAACCCCAGCCTTTTTTTCTATTTTATTTAGAGATAGGGCCTTGCTAAGTTGCTGAGGCTGGCTTTGAACTCTCAATCCTCCTGCCTCAGCCTCCCAAGCCACTGAGATTACAGGTGTGTTCCACCAGGCCTGGCCATAGTGTGATCTTAAAGACAAAGACAAATGCAGACAAGTACAATATGGGAAAGGAAGATGAGAGCCAATCTGGCTAAAATACAAACATTCTACACAAAGTATTAAACGGAACCTGGCGTTGAATGGCAAAAACATGATAGACCATGACCAAGATGGGTTCTCCCCAGGAATGAAAAGATAGTTTGAAATATTTAAAAAATTTGCTCCTACAATTCACTACATTAATAGATTAAAGAAGAAAAACAATCTGATCAACTCATAGATGCTAAAAAAGCAATCCGTAAAGTTCAACCCTTATTATTGATTTAAAGAAAAGAAAACAAAGAAAGCAAACTTGGAAGAGAAGAAAACCTCATAGCCCAATAAACAGTGTCTACGATCACACTACATAATGGAATGTCAGGATTGCTGTCAAAACTAGGAGGGAGACAGGGAAGCCTCTGTCACCACTTCTAGTTACCAGGTAAAGGGAGACAAGAAAAAGAATAAGGAATAGTGATTGGAGAAATACAATTGTCATTATTTCCAGACAGTCTGATTACCTATTAAAAAGCCTGAAAGAATTTTATTTATATATATATATATATATATATATATATATATATATATATACACACACACACACACAGAGGAAGAGGCTATAGACAGACAGGGAACCCAGGTAGCTGGCTGCCCCGCCCCCCCGCCCCAGCCTGTCTGGTGGCTCCTGACCTTGTCCCTGGTCTCCTCCTGGAATCCCTCTCTTCACAATATACCCAGATATCAGCAACTCTTGTGGAGGACCAGCTCCAGCCAGGCATAGTGCAGGACACCTCTGCTTAGTCTGGAGGGGTTGGTGACTTGTTGTGAGGGAATTTCCCACTACTGGTTAGGGTGTTGCTGATGTGGAACATGGAGTTGTCCTCAGAGCCAGGCCCTTTGATTCTGCTTACAGCTGCCTTCAGTTGGTGACATGGGTGTGGGCAGAGAAAGCCTCAGAATGGGACTGCGACAGAATTCTTGGTGGGATTCTCATTTTAGCAGTGGGGTTGGACATAAACCCTATGGAAGGACCCAGGCTGGGCAGAGAATGGGCTCTGCAATTTCTGAGGGTGCTCACCTCCCTCACCTGTCAGACAGGCTCTTCACACCAGATAAGCGACCTGACCCTGCTGGTGGACAGCCTGGAAGCAGAGAGAGCTGGAATGCAGAGCACCAGGGCCCAGGGCACCAGCCCATCTCCACCCCGCACCCTTACCAGGCTTGGCTCCTGTTGGTTCCCCCAGCCCACGCGTCCTTCCTGGGCCTCTCTGTACCCAGGGGTAGTTAATATGCATTTCAACCCCGTCAGATCCAATCAACTCTGGTTACTTCACTGAGCAACCAACCCAGAGGGAAGTCACATAGGCTCGGTCACCAGGGAACAGGGCATGTGAGGATAGAGGGCAGCAGGGACAGAGGCAACCAGATCTCACCTGCCTCTGAGCAAGGAGAAGAGGATAAGTGGGGTTCAGGAGAGGGCTCTGGAGGGGCCAGAGGAGACAGAGATAAGGAGAAGGGCAAAAGGCTTGGGGACCAGAAGAGCATGGGGAGTCATTCCTCTTCCCAGTGTGCTCAGAGACCCTCGGATAAGGGGCTATGTCTGCCCCTCAAAGTGGTAGCCTCTTGTACCCTAGAAGCCAAGGATAATATTAGTTATTTACTGCTGCTTAACCAATTAGTCCAAAACATTGTGGCTTAAAACCACAATACACATTTCTGATCCTTCACTATGGATGGGGGCCCTCCTGGCTGGATGTTTGCAGCACAGGGCTTCTCGTGAGGTCTCAGGCCCTATGTCAGCCATCTACAGTCACCCGAAGGCTTGCCTGGGACTGGAGGATCCACTTTCACAGTAGTCTGTTCAACTGGTCCACAAGTTGGTGATGGCCATTGCCAGGAAGCCTCAATTCCCTCCTCATGAACCTCTTTATTGGGTTACATGAGTGTCCACATGGATGCTCCACTCTGAGTCCACTCTGCCATATGGGAGCTTCTGTGGTCTGATACTTCCAATCTACCTTTGAAATTAAAGTTGGCCACCAGCCTTCTCTGGGAAAGGGAAGAGTCTGGGCAGGAAAGGGACTCTTTCCAGGGTAGATGATCAACACTGGAGGATCTACAGAGTCCATATACCAGACATCCAGGGACCACCTCTCCTGAGCCTCCTGCGGCCACTGCCCTCTGCTTTTCCCCTCCTGCTCAAGCCAGGGTCTAGCTTCCTCCACTGCCCAAAGTTCCACCCAGGTTAGGAATTCAGACCACTCAAACATGAATGTGTGAAAAGGTCAAGTATGGCAAAGGGTGGTGGAGCCTGTGGCAAACCAGAGAGTGACTAAAGGCATTTGCTTAAAAACATTTTTTTAGGGCTGGGACTGTAGTTCAGTGGTAGAGCACTTGCCTAGCACCACGTGTGAGGCACTGGGTTTGAGTCTCAGCACCACATAAAAATAAATAAGGTGAATGTACTGTGTCCATCTACAACATATATATATATTTCTAAAAAAATATATATTTTTTTATAAATGTTACACTAGGCCAAATAAACCACAGCTGACAGACTCAAACAGCCCTAGGAGATGAGATTAAAAGAGACCCCAAATTACAACCCACAGCTGGTCCTTATGCACACATGTGCATGTGCACATATGTATACACACACACACACACACATACACACACACACGCACGCACGCACCCCTGTACCAGCGCTCTGGCTGCTTGAAAGAGTAAAGTTGTTAGCCGGCCATAATGGTGTATGCCTGTAATCCCAGCAGCTCAGGACCCTGAAGTAGGAGGATTGTGAGTTCAAAGCCAGGCTCAGCAACAGTAAGATGCTAAGCAACTCAGTGAGAACTTGTCCCTAAATAAAATACAAAATAGGGCTGGGGATGTGGGCACAAGCGGGATGCAACCCTGCTCTCCTGGGCCACCAGGCGGCAATAGAGAGCACCATGCCAGCTCCACAGTTGGTTTTCACATGGACCCTGGACTCAGCTATGGAGAGCCTTTCTGTACCCCTTTCTCTTGGACCTCCTTCTTTCCCCACTACCCAGTCTAATAAGGGCAAGTACAGGTGTACAGAGCAGTCCAGAGGAATGCAGATGGGAGCTTCCAGAAGCCAGGAGCTGAGGCATCTGGTGTGCCCACTATACCAATGGACTCACCCTCTTGAATGGAAAAGCCCTCACAAGCCTGGGTGGAGAGTGGGAGACACTCTGGGGATGGCTCAGGGGCTCAGGGATGGAACTCGCCCTGGCCAGACTATAGATGATTATTCTGGCCACTGAACAGTGGCTCTGGGTGACATCTGTCTGCACACTGTTTTCCCCAGGGTGGCCTCCTGTGCCCCAGGACACTATCCTGAAGTGTCCCACCCCATTTCCTCTCCTCCTTTCCTTTCTGAACACAGGGACACCAACTTATCCACACCCTGCCTTCCTCCTCCTGGAAGCCTCCCTGGCCAGGGAAGGAGCAGGTGTGGCTTGGTAGGGTTGTGGGGAGAGCAGGGAAAGGGGTGAGGAAGGGAAGCAACTGTGTGGGAGCAAAGAAGAGGCCCCCTCACATGCCCCTGTCTCAGTGAGACCCATGGCACCCCCAGGGCAGAGAACGTGGAAAGCAGCAAAACGCCTGGAAAGGAAATCCGTCAGTGGGTATGGGCTGGCCGAGGGGGTCCCAGGCAGGACGCAGTCTGGAGAGAGCCCCATCCCACCCCTCCACAGAAGGGACCTCCCTTCCTCCCTCCCACCCCAAGACAGTGTGACTGGGCAGATATGGAGCAAGGCAAAGAACACCAGCAGGTGGCAAAGGTGGTCCATACGTGCTTGTTAATTAAGGCAGGGCATGGAGGGAGGGACATGGGCCTGAGCACACGGACATCAGGTCTGAGTCATGACTCTGGCTCTAAGAAGCCAAACGAACTTGAAAGTCACTTTGCCTCTGGTCTTCAGTCTCCTCATCCGTGAAGTCAGTGGGTTGGGTCAGAAGTAGATGACAAATACAGCCACGTGGAGCACTGCCAGGAGGACAGTGGGTGGCCTCCGGGTGCAGGTGCCCAGGGTTCCCTCCAAGGTTCTCAGCAGGACTGCGGCCAGGGTCAGAGGAGAGGGCTGTTCCCTCAGGGTGGAGGGTGGACACTTCCTACAAGGGGGTCTCCTTCTCCCCAGCAATCAGCCCTTCCTTCGTTAGGGGGAGCCTGCAGCCCCCGTTGGTACCTCCGTCAGGATGTGTGTGCTGCTTAGGCTGTGGCAGGCTGGAGTCGGGGGTGACGAGCTGTCGCAGGCGCTGTGGAGAGGAGAGGCGGTGAGTGCATACTTTTGGTGAGGGAGGAAAGGATGGCTCCTCATGTGTGAGCCTGGGCTCAGCTCAGAGCCGGGCACGCAGGGACAAAGGAGTGTTTCAAGAGAAAAGTCAAGAACACAGCGAGGAGGAGGGCACTGCCTGGCTTCCAGTACAGGCCCTGCTCCCAACCACCTGCACACCCCTAGCAACTCACTCAACTCTTCTGTTCACGCGATTGCCTCAGTTTCCTCATCTATAAAATGAGGATAACAATAGAACACACTGTTCAGTGATCAATAAGTACATATTTTTGTTATTACTATCACTACTATTCTTTTTATTACTCTTGGTATGTGCTCATAAGGATCTATTGTTTTTCCTGTTATCAGTGGTACAACTATTACTATTGCTATTGACACTGGTCCTATCTCCTTCCCTTTTCTCTCTTTGAATGCAGATGTAACGACTGGAATCATAACTGCTTTTGTGTGACTATGAAGTGATAAGCATGATGAAATGACAATGTGTTCAGGATGGAAGCACAGAAATAAAGGAAGAGTCTGGTCCCTAATGTCCCCTTTAAGCAGCCAAACCAAATGCTAGCAGCCCCCAATTGATTTCCTTGATATGTCAAAGAACAAATAAACCGATTTGCTTAAACTGTTATAGGGTGGATTTTCTATTACTTGTAGGCCAGACAGACTTCGACAGATGGAACGTCTTTGTGGGTCATTAGCCATAGCCTCTACCAGGAAGGCATGTCCCAAACTCCCAACAGGGAGCCTTTTTCAGTGTCTCCAAGCAGGCTTAAGATGAAAGGAAGTCAGGAGCCTGTGTGTGGAGTGAACCATGCTTACCAGTTTTCCAAGAGCAAGGTATCGATGCTCTTTAAGCTTCTGTGTCTAGGTCTCTCTATGTTCTTGTAACTTGGCTTCCCTTAACCCTTTACAGTTTACCCTTGATGATCTACCAGAGGTCAAGAAGGTTTCTGAAAGTAAAGCCATTGGACCGGTCAAAGCCCTTCTCTTTGAGATTCTGTGAGGCCACAGGCCCCCCCACCCCACCCCACGCAGAGCCTGTGTGTGCAACCAGCCCATCCTCTCTTGCGCCCGGCACCTACCTTCTTGAAGGAACCCTGGGTTCTCAGGAGGGTGATGACAATGAAGAGTGGGACACAGGCCATGGAGGAGAAAGCCAAGAACCAGCCAATGGAGTACCCCCAGGGAGGGTACACGTAGACGTTGTTGTATTTGAGAGGCGTGTACTTGGTCAAGGAGAAAATGAAAGTGGCCTGGGAAGAGGAAAGGGCAGATGCGGATGAGACAGAGGGACATTCAAAGTCCCTCCCTGGCCACTTGAACAGTCCAAGACAGAAGACAAGCAAGATGCACTGTGGTGCATCCCAGGTGGGACAGGAAAAGCCACTGCAAATCGTGACCCAAGGCATCAGAACTGAGGCAGGAGGAGACAGAGGTGGGGCAGGGGGAAGTGGGTGTCCATAAGTCAGGCATCGCCCCTCACCCCACAAGTCTTCTGGGGGCAGGAGGGAGGAAGGGGAAGCAGACTGGGCACATACCAGGCAAAGCCCTGGGGTCAGGAAGAGCCAGGAGATCTTCACCAGTGGCCAAGGCCGGTAGCCAATCATGTCCTCAATGTTGTCATAGAAACGGTCTGCCCCTGACCAGGTCCAGCGTGGGGAAAGAGAGTGAGAAGAACTTAATGGGTCTTTGGGAAAAACTGGCTGGCTTCTTTCCCACCCACCCACCCATCCTGGGATGGGAAACAGGAACAGCTGTGAATGAGATGTGCCCCTGGCACCCCAGTCAGAGAGCAGGGAGCAGGGGCTGGTACCATCTCTGACTTCCTGTGTAAGGATGGAGTGGAGACCCCCACTGTCCTCTTCACACAGGAAAGTGCGAGCCTGAAATGGGGCCCAGTGGCAGTGCAAATGCTTGTTTACCTGTGCAGCAGACAAGGATCTGACTGGGGTCAGAGCAGCAAGGAGCCCTGTGCTCACACATACTATACCAAACTCAGGGTTAGAAAATTACAGGACAATGGTCAGGATCTCAGACTCCAGGGGAACTACCTCTGCATTCCAAAGGAAGCGTGATAAGGTTGATTTACACTTTGGGAAAACACTGGTTTTGTTTTTGTTTTGTTTTAATGTCCATAGGTTTCTACATTTGCTTAGGCAGAGCTGGTATTCTCGCAGTGAAGAACCAACCACTCCTGGGAAAAGCCATGTAGGGGACTCATCTCCCTACACCCCTAGGACCTCCCCACTGATAACTGCCACGTGAAATCCCACCATTAAAGAGTCATAGCTTTCACTTCTAAAAGCCAAAGTTAAAAGCCAGATGTTGCCAGGTGGGTTTAACAGTTTAAGACCTCACTGTGATTGAGTTTATCAGATCCTCTCTGAGAACAAGATTTGGAAAGGGGTAGAAGAAAAAACCAGAAAACATCAGAAGCTCGAAGGGAGAAGGTAAGAGAGAGGAAAGGACACCAAGCAGGAAGGCTTAGGGCAGCAAAATAATCATCCTTCCTACTTGTAGCTTCACCTGAGTCTTTTGACATTGGTACTGTGTCCCCAACCTGGTGCAAGGGAGCCAGAAGACCTGGGGTATGACAATAGCCCTTCCACTTTCTAGCTGTGTGAGGTTAGGCAAGAGATGTAACCTCTCTGAACCTCCCTTTCCCCCTGCAAAAGACTGTCATAGAGATTCTGAGATAGTGAGAGGGAAAGTGACCAGTACGGTGCCTGACACAGAGCACATGGCTCAATAAAAAAGGTTTTTTCCCCCAGTAGTCAGGCATGGGGATGGCAGGGCATTAAGGCATTCCACAGCACTGCTGGTTATCTCAGGGCTGAGGGGCCCCAGGATGTTAGTGGAAATGCATGGAAGGCAGAATTCACTGCAGTGTGAGAAAGAAATGTGTAGCAGCCGCGATGGAAGAGGCTGCTTCAAAACCACGAGAATGAGCTTCCAGCCTGTGGAAGTATTCAAACAAAATCAGGTGACAACCTGGTTGTTAGAAAGGGAACACAGGAATTTGTGAAGGGTCAGACCAAGTGACCCTGAGAGTCCCTTCTGACTGGGGTTCTACTGGCGAAGGGCCTCAGGCCACCTCTGCGTCAAGAGCACCCTGCATGGTTATTGGTCATTCCTCTCTCTGGTCAAGGAAATCTGTCTTATCATTGTCCCAGCTCTCGCTACCCTCAGGAGAGATGCCAGGCTGCCTGGCCGTGGCTAACCTTCCCAGGAAACAGGAACAGGATGGTGATGCAAAGGCTCACGGGAAGCACTCACCTCTTGGCTCAGGCAGACCCTGTCCTTTGCCGGGGCCTCCCCTGCCCCATCCTCCTCCCACCCAGTCCTCAACCTCTCCGCCTCCTTACCGTACACCCAGCTGATGCAGATAACTTCGAACACGGAGAGGAAGAGCAGGCATATGCCACTGGAGGCATAGTAGTCAAACAGCTGGAAGATATACATCCCGCCCTGTGGAGCAGGGAGCAGGGCTGAGGCCTGGGGCCATGGCGCTGGCTGCATGCTCCTCCAGGGTGGCAAATCCCCACCAGGGGTGCCATCCTGCCCTGCCCAGGGAAGTTACTCCTTGCATCTAAGAGGATGCTGGCCCTACCCTAGGTCCTTCATTCAACATCCCAGCATCCCATCCTCTGGGAATGGACACCCACCTCCCTCTGTTCCTTTTGGGTTGGAGTATGCCACTCCCTGCAGCAGGCCTGAGTTAAGTCATGACCCTGACTCCTGCCACACTCAGGAAAAAGCCCATTCTTTCCACTGGGGTTGGATGGATGGGAAAAGGTAAGCTGGAAGTGGTACCAGCCTTCCTGGATATCACAGGAAGAAAACCTGCCTGAGGACAAAGTTACCAGAGGAAAGGAGAGCCAGGAGAAGAGACCGTGTCATTAAAGCAGCTGGATCCAAGTATGCCTAAAATCCAACTATCTCTAGACTTTGCAGCCACCCAACCCCCATTAATTTCCCTTTCTGCTTAACCCAGCTTGTATTTGGTTTCTTCGAGACCTGACTAATGTAGACAGATCCAATCAAGCAAGGCTGGTACCACTTCCAGCTTACCTTTTCCCATCCACCCAAGCCCTGCAAGAGAAACTGAGCAGGTGTCAATGCCCCACTTAGCAGATAAGGAAAGAGTGGTTCTGAGAGGGGCCAGCAGTGACCCCAAGTCACCCTGTGATGAGCCTCAAAGCAGGCTAACCACCCCACTCACCTCTGTGACCAGTAGGAGCCCTATCAGATAGCACACCATAGCAATGGTGAGGATCAGCAGCTCGCGCCGCCTGCTCTTCCGAAGCTGCCTGGGGAACATGTCCATGGAGGCCGTCACCAGGCACTCCATACAGACAAACTGTGGGCCAGGAGGGGAGCTGGGGTGAGGAGGGTGTGTGGGAGGCCACCAGCCCCTGCCCAGCGCTCTCCCCACCCAGCTCTGTCCTGGCCTCTCTCATCCCATTTGCCACACTAATGCGCGAGAAGGAGTCGGGGGTCTGGGTGAGGCCAGCCCTGCCCTTGTCCACAAGAAGGGGTCCCAACAGGGAGGATGGAAGGGGAGATCTATCCTGCCCCCAAAGGTAGGAGGCTGGCGCTGGTGCTGAGCATCTGGGAGAAGCTGGAGGGCATTGGGGGACATCTGTGTATGTGGAAGGCTCAAGCCTTGAGAACAAAATGGGCACCCCTCCCCCACCAACACACACACAGAAGAGGGTCTAAAGAGGCCTGGAGCCACTGACCAACCACAAGCACGAGCCCTGGACAGTAAGGAGGGCTCAGATTCATGGGTAGGAGGAAAGGAGTGAGAACAGTGAGGCCAAGACTAGCAGAAGCCGGAAAGAAGGTCACCCGGGCAGGGCTGGGCTGGGTGACGTACCTGGCTGTCCAGCCCCAGGAATATGAGCATGACGAAGAAAAGGCAGGACCACAGCTGGGACAAGGGCATCATAGTCACAGCCTTGGGGAATGCAATGAAGGCCAGACCGGGACCTGCCAGGCACACAGCATGCTCAGCTGATCCAGGGTCTCGCTGCCCTCAGCAGAGCGCTGATCCCCTGCACTGTCCTGTCCGTGTCACATGCACGGCTAGCTCAAGACAGGGCTGCTCAAGACAGCAGGGTGAGTCCGCTATTCTACTCCCTGGGGACAAAGCCATTCCTTCATCCATGCACACACACATCAGTCCATCCACTCCACTCTTCCCCTCTCCCTCCTCCTTCCCGCAGTTCCAAAAGCCTTGCTTTGTGCCAAGCGCTGTCCCTCCAAGGCTAAAAGGTTCATGCTACTCAGTTTCTAGGGCTCCGGTCCTCTCTCCTTCCCCTCAGGTCCCAGGCAGACCGGGGCACCTACCTGACTCGGCCACTTCAGAAATGGGCACCCCCTGCTCTTGGGACATGAAGCCCAAGATGGAGAAGACGACAAACCCTGCCACAAAGCTGGTGGCACTGTTGAGGAAGCAGAGGGCAATGGAGTCCCTGTGGGAGTAGATTGATGCAGACAAAGGTGGGGAGCAAGAGAGGAAGAGTCCAATCAGGGAGGAGAGGAGGGTAAAGAGGAAAGAAGAAGGCAAGAGGGGATGAGCCAGGGAGGGAGAAGGGAGAGAGAGACAAAAGTCAGGTGTCAGAGGAGGAGGAAAGGAAAGGAAGAGAGAAAGTGGGGAGAAAGAAAGTTAGCCTGGCAGAATGTCAATTGACACAATGTGCCACTCCCTGGGCCCAGGACAGTGGGTCTTGGTCTCAGAGCCCACCTCCAGGACTGTGACCCTCTTCAGCTCCCAGAGAGGCAGGAGTCACTCTCGCCCTGCCCCAGCCCTGCCAGTTCTCACCTGTAACAGTTGTTGTGATACTTGTTGTAGCTGCCCAGGGCCGTGAGGCAGCCCTGGCAGATGGCAAAGGAGAAGAAGATCTGGGTGCCCGCGTCCATCCACACCTGCACAAGACCCCAAGAAAGTGCCGGGGTCAGGAGTGGGTGGCCACGGCCTAGAACCAGGGAAAACAGACCCCTGGCCATAGCACAAGTCGACCCCTCAGTGTCCCCAAGAATGTCACACCCATGTGACACTAGTCCATGTGACATACTTCCCCTAGTGTCCTCCCTTCTCTCCACAGTGGACTTCTCACAGGTAGGGCCAATTTTTAGTCCTATAGACACTTAGGAAGCACCAAAGACACGTGTGTCCCTTGACTACCTCAGGTGTAGTCTGTAAACTCAAGCTGTACCCAAGATGGATGAGGCCCACCTGCATGGCAGAGCTAAGAGTCACTTGCATTCATTCAAACAGTGTATTTACATCATGCCTTAGGCAGCTGTGACCTGGGGCAAAGAGGCTACTTCATGAAAATAGAAAGAAAAACCACCAAGACTTCATGGGCATGCAAAAATGTGCTCAGACAAGTCCTAGAGGAGGAAATGCAGTTGGCCAGTAACCATGTGGGAGATGCCCAACCTTGCCCAGAGTTAAAAAAAAAAAAAAAAAGCTAAATTAAAATCATAAAATGATACTGCTTGGACCTATCAAGTTATAAAAGATTAAAATAAATATTAATCAAACCTTGCAAAGGCCCTACAGGAAGAAGGTATCCTCAAATACTGGTAGTAGAAATCTACATTTCTCTAAAGCCAGAACCAGCTGGGTGCAGTGACACACACCTATAACCCCAGAGGCTCAGAAGGCTGAGGCAGGAGGATCACAAGTTCAAAGCCAGCCTCAGCAACTTAGCAAGGCCCTAAGCAACCCAGCAAGACTCTGTCTCTAAATAAAATATTAAAAAGGGCTGGGGATGTGGCTCAGGGGTTAAGCACCCTGGATTCAATCCCCAGTACCAAAAAAAAAAAAAGGCTTTCTAAAGCCAGTACCAACCACAGGTTCAACCAACCACAGCGAAAATATTCACCCCAAAAATGTACCTCTACTGAACATGAACAGATTTTTTTCTTAAATAATACAGTATAACAACTAATTTTATAGCGTTTATATTACAGTAAGTACTGTAAATTATCTAGATATTATTTAAAGTATATAGAAAAATTGCATTGGATTATATGCAAACATTATGCCATTTTATATGCAACTTAAGCATCCAAAAAATTGGTATCTGTGGGAGCCATAGAGCAAATCTCCCATGGATACTGAGGGATAACCCTATATTTAAAAATAGATATCACCACCAAGTTCAGTGGCACATGTCTAAAATCTCAGCAACTTGGAAGGCCAAGGCAGGAAGATCACAGGTTTGAGGCCAGCCTCAGCAACTTAGTGAAACCTTGTCTCAAAATCAAAAATAAAAAGAACTGGGGATGTAACTCAGTGGTAGAGTTTCTTTGGGCTCAATCCCCAGGAGTGGGGGAAAAAATAGATATCACCTAAATGTCCAAGGGCAGGATATGAGCTCTAAGAGGGCAGAGAGACTGGTCTGTTCTGTCCACTGACCTATCCCTGGCACTAGAACAGTACTTAGCACGTAATGGGTCCTCAGTATATTTTGTTGAATAAATAAATGACTAATGAATGGATGAAATATTATGCAGGTGTTAAAAATTACATTTACAGGTGAATCTGATAGCACGGAAAAGTCTCATAAGTGAAACAAGGATATATGTGTCTTTATATATATATATGTCAAAACACACACATACGCCAACCACATAGTGAAAATGGTTGGAAGGAAATATACTAAAATGCCGACAGAAATTGTACCTGAATGGTGGGATTATAAGAGATTTTAAATCTTTTTCAATTTTCTTCCATGTTATCTAATTTTTCTCCAGTGGGCATCTCTTGCTTTTTTACCAAAGGAAAAGAAATAGAAGACTTTCAAATGCAGACTGGTTTGGGGCAGGACCCTCTACCTCAAAGGTAAAAGGTCCCACATGGTGCCCACCTGGGGGTCCTTGAGGCGGAGCAGGTCTGGTCTCAGGTAGTAGATGATGCCCTCATAGGCTCCAGGGAGGGTGACACCTCGGATCAGTAGGATAACCAGCATCAGGTAGGGAAAAGTGGCTGTGAAATAAACAACCTGGAAGAGAAATAGGCCAAGGTCACTCTAGGTGGAGACCTGGCAGCCAGGCAGCCAGGACCCGGCAGAGAGTCTCCAGTGGTCCCCCCCACCCTCGGGTAGTGCCAGTCACACAGAGCTCACCACCAGGTTCCAACATCATAGAAACAGCCTGGGGGGAGAGCACAGGAAACTTTCCACACCTCCCCTACACATTCCAGTGGCTCTGCTCCCCAGCCCAGTGTGAGATACACATCAGCAGGGCAGGGGGAGGGGCAGGGAGGAGGAGGGGGACTGGCACGGGTGTGAGTTTCTTGCCCACAACCCTTCAAAGACTCATCTGAAACCCAGAAACTGATTAGCCTTAATCCTTCAACCTGGCTGCCCTCCCCATGGCCATGGTGAGGGTGGGACCATCCCTCACAGAAAAAGTGGCCAGATTTGGACAGTGATTTGCAGGAAGATTCAGACTGTACTTTTCCAGGCTTAGGGTTGGGGAAGCAGCAGTGGCCTGAGCTCAGCAATCCTAGGGACGCACAAAAGGTGTTCCACTCTGTCCCTGACCACACTCAGCTCCTTACCAAGGGAGCGGCCTCATCTGTGTGGTTAGGACTACTATTATTCTTATCATTAGTATTGCTTTTATTTTTACAACAACCCAAAGAAGAGGAGGCTGCTATGGGAACAGCCTAACTGTAGGGCTGATCAGAACAGTCAGCATCCTGCCATTCCTGGCTTTCAAAAACACAAAGCAGCATCTTAGGCTCTCTGTGTTGGAAATCAAGCTCAAACCCCAATTCTTTCTATATAATAAACCCACTGTTACCCAGTTTTGGCTTGAACCCCATCAGCAACTGGCAACTCACCACCCCAAAGACATTTCTGTTTGTGACTTGTGCTAAAAATATTCTCCGTGTGTATTAAATTCAACAAGCAGTTGAGTTGAAGTAAGAGTGTGTGATCCTAATTTGTGCAATATATACACATAACGGCTACAAACACACACCTACATACCTATGAAAGGAACTAGGAGGCAACACAGAGAAAGTCAACAGGGATTAGCAGATCCAACTGCCATCATGCTGGTGGCCTGTACAGTGATCAGCTCCAACAGTGGAACTTTTATGGTTCTTATTTTGTTCTGAATATTGCTTACATAAACAGGTCTTTTAAAGTCTGTTGAAAAAAGAAAGTGTTTCCTTGTATGGAGCTAAACTTTGCCTTCCTACAACTTCCCTCATTCTCACCATGCATCTCCCCTCTACCACTCTTTCAGTTCTCCTGAGGGCCCTCCAAGGGTCTCCATGGACTTTGGGAGCCACAGAGAGCCCAACAGGAGCCTGAACACCTCACCTTGCCCGTGGACTTGACCCCCTTCCAGATGCAGAAGTAGCAGACGATCCAGGCAAGCAAGAGGCACAGGGCCAACTCCCAGCGCAGGCTCCCCAGGTCATGGATGCCCGAGGTGATGCCCAGAACCCGTCTCCTAATGGATTGGGAAAATTAAAAACCAGGTGAAAAGCTAAAAAGGATGATTGCCTATCACCACGTGTCCTGATTCTTAGAGCTGACACCACAGGCCTCATATTCCAGGGCTTCCTCCGCTCCCAGCCCTGCTCACCTTCCCTGTGGTCATGCCATGTTCCCACCTGTGGTCTGTATGGCCCTGGCTGTTAGAAGACCAAATCATCATAATCCCATAGGTATCTGTGTCTTTCTAACTCATCCAGATTTCTCTGTTGTACAGATAGAGAAAAAGAGAGTGAGGATGGTGAGGAATGTATAAACAACACGTTCATGGAGAGTAGATATTTGTATATATGCAGGGTGATGGGCAAGAATGTGAGTATCGCAGGGAGGGGCTGAACTCTAAAGTTGTTGGGCTCTAGAGATGTGTATGGGGTGATGGAGATGTCGGTATGACTGAGAGAGAACTTTAGGTAATCAAGGGCCTGCATGCGCGAGGGTGTGGGCAGACACAGGGTGTTGGTGAGCATGTGTGGGGACCTGTGAGAGAAGGGACGTGTGGCGTGGTGGAGGTGGAAGTGTGCGTAATCCCATGGTAAGGTGAACGTGTGAGCGGAGGTCCTGCCCATTTCTGTGGTATAAATACTCCCACATTGGCCAGTGTCAGGTTGCCAATGTGACATCACTGAATACAGAGTTTGGAAGAGATGGTACAGTGGGCTCTCCTGGGGCTGTGGAGGCTGTTTCCAGCACACCATTGGACATGTGTGGGGTGGATGTGAGGGGGTAGGTGGATATTCGTGAGACTGTAAATGATGTGGATAGAAAAATGTGAGTCTGCGTGGACTCATGTGGGTTTGGGGTGAGTGTAAGGGGACAGGTGGACAAGTGTGGGTGGATGTGAAATTGTTCTTTCATCCTTCAGTGATGGGGGGTAGGAGGTGCATGAGTGCTAGAAAGCATGCACAGAGAGTCTTAAACTTGCACCCCAGACTTTCAAATTCGCACAATTCAGACATGCAGACTGTCTCTGCTTAGGGGCCCCTGGCATGTGACAACCAGGCCCAGCACCTACTCCCAGAATTCCATGACAGGTGAGGTGAAGTTCGCAGAATGGGTCACTTTGCTGGCTCCAGAGTGGTTCAGAAAGTCCATGCAATGCTCTGTTGGGGACAAAGTAGAGTGCATGTCAGTTAGGGACATGATGGGGAGAGATGTCCCCACATCCAATCCCCCCACCAGCCTAGGGGTCCCTTTGGACTCCCCACTTTCTAGAGTATCAGAGGTGAACTTCTGAGGAGGTTCATGGGACCAGCTCCTCCTCCTCATGTGGCCTGTGCTCACTGCTCTTGTTCTCAGTGAGCCTGGCCACTCAGCTGGCCACCCTACCAACCTCTGGCACCATCCAGACTGAAGATGATACGCCCAATATGGGAAGTTCACAAGGATAACTATCACCCCCATCTACAGACAAGGGACCAAGGCCAGGTACAGCTCTTCCTGGCTTGATGCTGCTCACATGCTTCTCCCTCCCACTGTTACATAGTTAATTGTCTATTTCCTCTATTTCTACATCTCTACAGTAAGCTCAGAAGAGGGCTGGGTCCAGGTTGCCCTTGCTTGGCCTTGGAGCGGTGTTTGGCACATAATAGATGCCCAGTAAATATTGTTAAATGACGAATGATAACCTCTTGCTACAGGCCCACTGGGTTCTCACAACTGTACTTCATTCTCCCAGGGGCTGATCTAAGGGACCACAGAAGGATCAGCCAGCAGAATGGCACCAAAGCCCACATGGGGTAGCTTTGAGGCCAATTCTGCCATATGCTGACCATCACCAGCCACCATGGCCCAACCTCAAGGGACAGACACCATCCCAGAGGCTGAAAGAATGGATACCTGTGTTCCAGTAATTGGTGCAGGTTGTCCAGGGTAGCTCAGAGGTGAAGGAGCTGAACAGGTAGAAGAGGGCCCAAGCGAGGATGATGATGTAGTAGATATTCAAATAGGACTCGATGACCACAGAGGCCAGTCCAATGCCTTCCAGAGTGAATGGTGGTGGGGCAGGGAGAATCCAAGAGATAAACATTAGCAAAAAAGTCACATACAAGCTGCCAGGTGTGGCTACAAGGGTCTTCTTAGAGTTGGGTTTATTCATTGACATGAGAAGCCATTTATAGCCTTTTTTTCCAAGTAAGAAAAGCAGGTTATAAATCACCATCCTATATATTCTCCCATTTTTTTTAAAATATTTATTTATTTATTTATTTTAGTTTTCGGCAGGCACAACATCTTTGTTTGTATGTGGTGCTGAGGATCGAACCCGGGCCGCACGCATGCCAGGCGAGCGCGCTACCGCTTGAGCCACATCCCCAGCCCTATTCTCCCATTTTTGTAACACATATTTGAGAGTGTCTATTTTTTTAATTTTAATTTGTTATATATGACAACAGAATGAGAGCGTCTATTTTTGTTTATGAGAAAACTCTGGAAAGATTTCCACCCAAAAGTTAGCAAGAAGTTCTTGAAGTGATAGGATTTTAGTTTATTTTTTCAAGCTTTTTTTTTTTTTTTCATTTTGTTTGTTGCATTTTCTGTTTTTCTGATGTAATTGTGTATTGCTTGCAAAATTAAAAGATAGGAAGGATAAAGGAGTAAGAAGAGGGAAATGGTAAAAATCTATCTCGGGATAAGAAAAAGAAAGCAGCCAGGAAGAGAGAAGTGGCCCTTGACATGATGTGCCTGGCCCAGCGTCCAGATCCCCTCGCTGCAAAAGTTGAGCTTCCATTTTAAAGCTTATCATGCAGGCTCTGGTTGGTGGGGTACACTTGGTCTCTTTAATGGAAACATGTGCTATAAAAGTGGAATCTTGCCAGGCATGATGGTGCACACCTCTAATTCCAGCCACTCAGAGGCTGAGTCAGGAGGATCACAAGTTCAAGGGCAGCCTCAGCAATTTAGCAAGGTTCTAAACAACTTAAGGAGACCCTGTCTCAAAAACAAAAACAAAACAAAACATAAAGTGCTGGAGATGTGGCTAAATGGTTAAGCACCCCTGGGTTCAATCTCTGGTACCTAAAAAAAAAAAAAAATTAATTAAATAAAAGTGGAATCTCCTCACAGTCATTTTAGAAGCAGCATTTTGCCAGGCTGAATGAAAGCCAGCTGGGAGGGGTGGTGGGTGGCGCTCCCCCAGGCCAAAGCCCACCGGGACTTTGTCCACCGGGACTGAGTTCTGGAGAACAGAGGACACAGGCTAATCAATGCTGTTTAACTGTGGCCTGTGTGGAACAACCCGTTAGCCTAAGGGCTGGCTCAGAAATCAATGCTGACCGTGAACCAAACTGCCCCTTTGCGGGAAGAACCCACTCGCAACTGTTTTGTCCCATCCTGGCAAAGGGCGGTTTGCAGGCGTGGTGGTCTCCCCGCGTCTGCGGCCAGGCTGTGGCGCTTCGGAAGCTGAGGAGCCAGGGCTGCAGTGGCCGAGGGCTCCCCCGGGAGCGGTGGGCCAGCCTGGGGCCACACAGACTCCCACTCAGACCACGAAAGCACAAACAAGCGGCCTCTGTGCCAGCCTCCTGAACGCTGTGCTCCCCGTGGCTTGGCGGGACCTGACAGGGCGGGGATCAGCGGGTCAACACCGAGGACCAGCGAGGGACGGGCGGGACCTGAGCGCGGGGG